GCATCGATCAAACGGTCAATCTTAGAGGCAAGCGGAGGACTTGCTTCCACCGAACGTACTCCTCTCTCGGTACCCCTTCTAGCACTTCTTGTCAAGCCCCAATCGTACCCTTTTGTCGCCATATCTTCAAGCATTTGGGTCACTTGGGGTGCATTCATGTTCATAAATTTCCCTTGATATAGAGAGTCAATGAGGATCTTTTCATCTTGGAAGAGACCGCCATAGAAGGTCTTATCCGAAACTGTTCTTCAAATCCATGATGTGGGCATTGGAGGAAGTATTCGGAATACCTCTCCCATGCATCCCTCAATGTCTCATCATATCCTTGTTCTAAATGGGTTATCTTCTTGGGCCACTCTGCCATCTTGGAAAGTGGGAAATATCGGGTCATGAGCTTGTTGAGCAAGTCGTCCCATGAGGTAATCGAGAGGGGTGGTCTATTGTTGAGCCACCTGAGTGCATTCCCCGCAAGAGAGTAGGGGAATAGCCTCGAATTCAAAGCATCTTTGGGCACCCCATTGATCTTCAAACTTCCTGCAATCTAGATAAACCTCCGAACATGCTCCCTCGGAAACTCATCTCTAAGCCCATGGAATTGCACATTGTTTTGGATCATTGTGACAAGGTCGGGCTTGATCTCGAAATTGTTGGCGGCCACAGGCGGATATAAAATGGTAGGTTGAATATCCACCGCCCGTGGAGCCATGTAGTAGCCCATGGTCCTCGGTTGCTTCGCAACTCCCGTTTGAGCTTCTTGATTAGCCGCCATCTCGGCTTCACTTCCTTCCTCTCCGGATTCAAATTCTTCCTCAACTACAAATCCTTCAACTTTGGGACAACTTGTGGTTGTCCCCTCTCCTCTATCCTTCTTCTTGCTTCTGCCAGTTCCCTCTCAAGAACCAAGAGTCGCAGAGTGCGGTTGAGATTCTTGTCTAGTGGCTCTAAAGGTGTCAGATTACTCTGGGTCATACACCCTCATGCATAGACTCAAAAGAACCACAACTCATCTAACACAAGCAAGATTCACACACACACAAAAGCAAAAAGTAATGCTAGATTAACAGCAAACAATCTTTTCGAAATAACGGATCGGAAATTCCACGGTAACGCCGCCAAAAAATTGACTCGTCTCGAATATCACAAAAAATCTCAATTAAGGCCCAAGTATAAACCTTGATCGGGTGCAATATTGGCTAAGTATGTTTAAATATCAACCCGGACCGGACCATGTACCCCTACTTCGATTGTTTGAAACATTATCTAGCAATTGATTTTTGGTGAAAAAAACGATCTATAGCTAAAACGTTTGGAAAAGTAAATGGGTTTGCTCCCCCTAGCTAACAATAATGACTTGTCAGATCGAATTCATAGGTGTGGGAAAAGCGGTGGTAAACCATTGGGAAGTACAACAACTAGTGAACAAACGCCACTCTCTCGGTCAATAGGCCAAGGGATTCCGATTCAAGCTACCAAAGTAAATCTCTTGACCTTTCAACCAAGGTTTGCCTAGGCTTCACCCTCGAATCGGAGTTCAGACGGCCAAATTACAACCAACCTTACGTGATAAAACGAATTAAGAGATTTGCCGTAATTTAACCTAAGTAGGAGACAAAGATTGCCCAACGAAATCCAGCTTTTACAAGCCGCTACTCAAAGGAGATTTCCCTCTACCTAATTCAAAATAGCACAAGACATTGAAATGCACAAACACAATCAATCTTCATGAAAATACCTCATAACTTTGTATTAAAGCACACCCACACACTAATCATTCAATCCATACAAACATTCACATAATTGTAGCTAGGGTTTATACACACCCAAGTGAAAAGAGAAACTACTCCACGCTAGGCAAGGAGGAAGCACAAGGAGAAGTAGGAAAACCATCTTGGAGATGCTAGCCTTGCTCCTTGTGGTGTAGAGATCCTCCTATGGGGAAGAAATTCCTAAACCCTTGCTTGGAGTTGAAACCCTAAACTCTTCTCTTCTTTGGTTCGTCAATTTCTCTCTCTAGAAAGCTGAAGAAAAATAAGTTTCTCACCCTAGGACTCTCTCCCTTTTTCCTTCAGCTCAGCCCTCCTTTTATACCAAGGTTGCGGTCTGTTCACGGTCGTGAACATCCTTCCTGGACCGTGATGTCGAGAAAATCCGCACCGTTTCACTTATTCTGTTCATGGTCTGGTGCTTGAGTTCACAGTCTTGCCACCGTGAGTGACTGGGATCCAGTGAGGGGCACAATATGCTTCTAGAACTTTTGGCGCTTCACAGTTTGGGGCTTTGGTTCACAGTCTTACGATCGTGAACTGGTTGGACTCTAGTGAGGTGTGCATTTTGCTTCTGGAATTTCAGCACTTCGCGGTCTGGGTGCCCTTTTCACGGTCTGTAAGACCGTGAACTCTCAACATCCGCTGTGACCCTCAGCTCTTCCACCCTTTGACTCTTTTTTGCTCTTTTTTGTCCCACTTTTGATTCCAGGGTCAGCTGCACCTGCTAGGATTTGAAACATACTAAAACAAAGTGCAACCTAGCGTAAAACCACACCTCATGGAGTACAAATGCATCAAATGTCTAAGGAAAATGGGGATAAAATGTATACAATTGGACCCAAATCATTTGCTATGTCCTCCTTTCAATATTCAGCCGAGCCTTCTCATGGAGATTCTTCACATACTCCGCTTTCTTAGCTCCATCCATGATCATTTGCTCCTTCAAGGGTAAAGGTGTCAAATCCAATGGAGTAAGAGGATTGAACCCACACACGAGCTCAAAGTAGAATACTTCGTTGTTGAATGCACGACTCTATTGTATGCAAACTCCATGTGTGGTAGGCAGTCCTCCCACGTCTTAATGTTTCCCTTGATGACTGCTCGTAGCATTTGAGACAAAGTACGACTCACCACTTCAACTTTTCCATCCGTTTGAGGATGACAATTAGTCGAAAACAAGATCTTTGTTCCGATCTTGCTCCACAATGTCTTCCAAAAATAGCTCAAGAACTTCGCATTACGATCAGAAACAGTGGTGCATGGCAGCCCATGTAGTCGCACCATCTCTTTGAAGAACATATCTGCTACATTGACAACATCGTCAATTTTATGGCATGGAATGAAATGTGTCATCTTTGAAAATCGTTCCACCACCACAAAGATAGAATCTTGACTTCTCTTCGTCCTTGGAAATCCCAATACGAAGTCCATAGATATATCAACCCACGACAATGATAGAATGGGTAGTGGAGTGTAAAATAAAGATGATTGCACCTTCGATTTAGCTTGCTTGCACTCCACGCTTCTAGCACACAAGATCTCCACATCGCTTTTCATACGAGGCCAATAGAAGTGCTCTACACCAAAGTGTGCCATCAATCCTCTTCCATGAGCTTCTCGTAGTAGCAACTCTCGAAGTAAAGTACGTGGTATGCAAAGTTTATTACCACGAAACAAGTAGCCTTCATGCCGAAAGTACTTCCTTTCTCCATGCTTCTCACATAGCTTGTAGATCTCTCTAAAATCAGGATCCTCCATATAGATGCCTCTGATTTGCTCGAACCCAAGGTACCTTGCATCCATGGTAGTGATCAACGTGTTTCTTCTCGATAAGGCATCAACAACTACATTCTCCTTGCCTTGTTTGTACTTGACTAACAAGAAATAAGTAAAAAAATCCTTAAACCATGCAGAGCAGCAGAATTACTTTATCAACTAGGGCTGGGAAAACGGTTGCAATTTGCAATTAAACCGCTAACCGCATCGAAACCGCGCGGTTATTGATTAACCGCAAAACATCCTATTTTGCGGTCGCGATTGGAGATATTGGTTATTTTGCGGTTAGCGACACCGAAAATAGCTCTAACCACAATGCTAATCGAAAAATCCATCCTAATCCATTTCCAGTCCAGCCCTGCCCATAATACCAACCGCACTCCCACCCCAGCCCAACCCGACCCGCCCCTTCCCCCCTTACCCACTTTGGCTTTGGGAATCGCCGAATCGCAATTCCATTTCCCACTCTGAAAGACTGAAAACCCTAACCCAGATACCCTAATCTCCTGCCGTCGAGAGCCCTAAGAGTTGAGAGAGAGTGGAGACGTCGACCAACGGACAGAAAATTCCCCCGATGTCGTCCCTTGTCACTGGTGCTTGTCTCCCTCGCAGCGGTAGGCTCGAGTCTCGAACTGCTCTTCTGCTCTGCTCCATTCGCATATGCTCCTTCTCTTCTCATCGCCTCTCTGCTCGTCGACCTGCTCTGTTTGCTGACTCAGGCTACACTACCTGCTGGTTGCTCTCCACATCGGCTCTACTCGTCGGCCGTCGATCTCCAGTCTCCACATCTGCTCTGCTGCCCCACTGCCATCCCTTGCATTTTTTTCTTAACCACAGTTATTCACATTGATGTGGTTAAAACGATTGTTACCTCCAGTAACCGCGGTGCACCGTTAACCGCTAACCGTACAAGGCGTGGTTGGGGTTGGTGAATATATGTACTTTGCGGTTGCGATTAACCACGAATATGAATGCAGTTAACCACAACCGCACTGTTTCCCACCCCTACTATCAACTATCCTCTATCTCAGTACCCCCCCCCCCCCCCCCCCCCCCAGAAAAATTTTTCAAATACAAAAGGTCCATATCGTCCCATGTATTAGTTTAGTAAATTCGAGGAAGAATTCTTTTGTACAGAATCAAGTCAATCTTCAGAAATTTAATTGTATCATAAATAAGAAATACTTAAATACATAAAATTTTGGAGAGAGAAACAATACGTAGGGTCTTTTGTCTGTTTGGTTGGTTAAACATGGACAAGTTCATAGAACTTTGGGCTTTGATTACCAATGAATAGAGACTTTACAAATAAAGCCCGAGGATTGGCATTCATTGCTGTAATTTTATATGTATATGGTTACAATTATATGCGTTCTCAATGCCGGTGGCAGGGCCACGTCCCCGACGGCCGATTGAGCTCCATCAACAATGTTTTCGTCCCTCCAGGAACCGCCCATGCTAATGACAGATGCCTCCTTTTCCAAGGACACGATCCTCGCCTGGTTCCGTGGTGAATTCGCCGCTGCGAATGCAAGCATCGATGCATTTTGCTGACACCTCGTACAGCTCGACGGAGGCGGATTGGAGTACGATTCTGTCTTCTCTGCCATCCAAAAGAGGCGGCTCAAGTGGATCTCCATCCTTCAACAGATGCATAAGTACCACTCCATCACCAACGTGGCAGTGGAGCTCATGCGGGTCACGAAGCCGAAAGTACAGGACAAGAATGGCAAGATTGAAGGCCAGAAGAGCATTAATCAGACGGAGGAGGCTTGCGTGCTGGTGGCGGAGGAAGAGGAGACCAGTGCCGTAGCCGATGAGAAAATCGATGAGATTCTTGTTATGGGAAAATCCTAGTACCATATCAGAAATACAAAGGAAGAGACCCTTCTATATTAATGTCCACCTAGCCCAATTATTACGAGGCCTTTTGGGGAGGACACCCAAGAGTAAAACTGTGTTGGCTTGGCCCAAAACGGACAATATCATACTAATGGAATTGCGCAATTTTGAATAGTGGTATCAAAGCCTAGTTATTAGGTTCAGGGCGGTGGAAGTCAGTTTGGTGGAACCCTCATTTGGTGACCTCGGGATTTGTGATATGCATCTGTTTAGCGGATCAAGGGATATCTGCGTTTGATTTGGCAAATCAAAGAGAGTTCTGCATCTGGGAAAATTCTTGTACCGAGAAGCCCATCGATACAAGGTGTTTGGCAGATCAAGATAATCGTTGAGGAGAGGACACAAAGTTCTTGGTCCTTGTCTTGAGCGGATGATTGTTATTGGACTATCCAAGTACCACATCGCAAATACAAGGGAATGGACCCTTGTATATTAGTGGCCACCTAGTCCAATTAGTACGAGGCCTTTTGGGGAGGACACCCAAGAGTAAAATTGTGCGGGCTAGGCCTAAAGCGGACAATATCGTACTAATGGAGACAACCAGTTTCGATAATTCTTAAACCTGCCATCGTTGTAGCAACGAAGAGTTACCTGAACGGAGAAGAGGTGGATTTGGGACGTGTTTAATATATATATGGGAAGTTCTAGGGTGCCCAGGGCAAAATCCGGGGGCAAGGAAAATTACAAAAAGCATCACGAAGCGTTAAAGCTTTGTTCATTGGACTTCAACCTAACTGTACCCGGTTTAATTATATCGATTTAGAGGTTAAACCCTATGGATACGACCCGCCTCCCTAACCAATTTCCAGTCTCCCTTCTACGATCCCTCATTTGTCTTGGAGGGTCCCCTCTTAGTTCGAAGTTCGATCATAAGCTGCCTATCAAATCTGAAATCTCCAACAAAATCATCGTTTTGACACCCAAATCCTTTTATTATTTGATCCCCATTCGATTTAGCTCCCTATCCAATCTCAAATCCCCAACATCATCATGTTTCATACCCCAAATCTATGTATCCACATTCGAAGAGAAGAGCCCAAGTCCTTGTATCCACAAATCGACGTTTTGTTCCTCGCCATTTTATTTCCAGGCGGAATTTACACACCTATCTCTATGTAACACGATTACGGCGACCATGTCTATTATTGTGTTCATCAAACTTTCATTTGCAAAAGAACCCTTGAAAGAGGTTTGCTAACCCTAGGGTTCATGTCGCTAGTGCTTTGTCATCTTGTCTTAGCGTTATTGTCATTTTCTCGAAACTTATATCTCTCGGTGAAATTTAGGTTTCCTGATATGTAGTGTTCGTCTCGCCCATAGGATTGAGGAAGAAGATGAAGAAGACATAATTTGATTGATGGAGAGGTCTCCTTGATTTGTGTTTATGTATTAACGGTGCGTTTAGGACTAATTCTAGTTGAACTGGGTCTGATCATTGATTTTTGCAGGCTTTTAAATAACATTCAAAAGTGGGCTTGTACATGACCCATGGCATCTAGTTTGTTGATAATAGATACTGACTTCCGGATTGTCATTAGGTTTGGGCCTTTGATAATTGTTTATCTCGGTGGCGGTACGAGGTAAACCACAATCCGCCCAATTTAACTATTCATTAATTGAGATCCTATTCCACTATCTCACTGATTGCCCCTCTTTATGCAATGCACTCGTACATAACAAACCTCTTGTAGACTAATTAGAGGCTTGTGGTTGGATACTGAGTGAAGATAATTTTTTTAATTTATGTTTTGAAACGAAAGTTAGAATTTCCCTTTTTAAGTACCTATGTACTTTAGTTGGGCAAGTATTTTTAAAATGTAAAATTTTATCAGCGTATAGGTATACGATTGTTGTATAAGGTGTTGATGTTAAAGGAAATGGGTACTGACTGCTTAGGGTTAGGTTGTTGATGGTATAGAGTATAGTATATGGGTAGGTTATAAGGTGTTGATGGTTTAGAGCATATGGTATTGATTAATTAAAGGGTGAGGGTAGGTGTTGTTTTATTTTTTATCGATTTTATATTTTCTTTATATCTGCTTATAAATGCTGATCATGCCTTATTACTAAAAAAACTTAGACATAATTATTGTAGCGTGACACATTTATCGGTACGAGATTAAATGATTTGGTGTGTGCAAGGTAGGTTCCTATTAACTATTTTGCCTTGTTGGTTATCCTTGTTGGTGATCCCGACCATTAGCTATTCGCCACATATGGAATGTAAATTAGTTAGAGTTATTAACTTCATCTTTCTTCATTTATTGTTTGATTTGAACCTGCATGTTTTTGCTCCAAAGAATTTTGTAGTGGCGTGGTAAAGACAATCCGTCCAATTTAACTCTTCATTAATTCCCCCTTTTCCACTCTCTCACTCCCCCACGAAGCAGAAACAATCTACTATGATATATTTACCGTTCATTTTAACCCTTCACTTAATAAGAAAGCAAAATTTCACATGATGATTATAAATGTCATGTAGCTTAATTGGTTAATTGTCCTTTAGTTGATGAGTTAGTAAAGTAGAGGTTTGTGGTTTGATACTTAGCGACTATCAATTTTTAATTTATGTTTTGAACAAAAAGTTAGAATTTCAATTTTGAAGTACCTATCTACTTTAGTTGGGCAAGAAAAGTTAATAAACAATAAAATAGAAAAATAGAATAGTTATCTATGTGGCATTGCTAGAAGAATTCCTAATTTAGCAATCTTGCTAGTTTAGAAAGAACTTCTCCATCCCTAAACCATTGCTAATTTTTTGCCATCTAAGCTCCACCTCATCTTTAGCAATTGCTAAAAGTTGGGGATGGAGATGGTGACAATCAATAAGCAATTTCTAAAGTGGGCCCTTGTCGCCCTTAGGGTTTAGGGTTCAGGGTTTAGGGTTACAATAACATTACCAAATCAGTAGATTAATTTTGGTAAATGAAAAAGTTAGTTAATCTACAAAGCCAGTCTAAAAGCACATCCCCATCTCCCGCCGTCAATTCCTAAACTTTTCCTTTAATCCGATGGTGAAAGAGCTTCAATCCTTGCCGCGGCGTGTCACCCAATCAGATTCGCCGTTTTCGGAAAGTTGCATTTGCCCATAATCAGTGCTGACGTTACCAAGGCCGAGGCAGCGGTAGGCAGTTTGATTTTCAGTAAATGGGAAAGGCTGGAAAGGCAAAGTAATTTTATGAGTCCATTTATAAATTCTTTAATCGAAGAGACACATAAATAAAACGACACCGCATAAACCAGCAGTCTTCTTATAAACCAATTAGACCATCATTAAAACGACACCGCAGAAGGCAGCAGTCTTCTTATAAACCAAACGACGCCGCTTCAAGCTTACAGTGGCAGTCTTCACATAGTCCTAATCCGAATAGGATAAGGACTTCCATCTTCACTTCAAGTTTTCAACACTGATCAAATACTTGCAGCCCTTTTACACACGTATTCTGAAGAACTCAAGTGTCCAAAACTCTAGTCCTAATTTAGCAATCTTGCTAGTTTAGAAAGAGCTCCTCCATCCCTAAACCATTGCTAAGTTTTTGTCATCTAAGCTCCACCTCATCTTTAGCAATTGCTAAAAGTTGGGGATGGAGATGGTGACAATCAATAAGCAATTTCTAAAGTGGGCCCTTATCGCCACATCACCAATCAAACAAAAAACGCATTCAATAATTTCCAAACCCCTACATCCCTAAAACCAATAAGCGATTGCCAATAGTGGGCCCATACAAAGAAAGAAAAAAGTAATCGAAAAATAAAAAAATATCCTAGGTCGCATTGCAATCTTGCTAATAATGGTGCCACCTAGGATTCCACTAAATAAGCAATGGGATGGAGATGGTAAGGTGATATGGTTTATAGCATAAGCCTAGACCATCTCCATCCCCTTTCATATGCAATTGGTAAAACTTAGGTGGCATGTGTTTGGCAATTGCTAATTCAATTGCAAGGATGTGGAGCCAATTGCTAATTTATTAACAATCTTGCTAAATAAGCAATTCAACTTGCAATTCCGATTGCTAACATACATATATGTGTGGCCTCACAATAGAAATGGCTAAAACCTTGGAAGGATGTGGATGACTTCAAGAGCTATTGCTTAAGTGCTTGATATGGCAGTGGGACCCATATATGAAATTGCTAAGTAATTGCAAGGATGAAGGTTAGGGTATAAGGTATGTAGCAAGGTGTTGATGGTTTAGAGTATATATGTTATTGATTGGTTAGAGTATAAGGTGTTATTGTTGTAGAGTATATGGTATTGATTGGTTCGGGTATTAGGGGTTAGGGTTCAGGGTTTAAGGTTTAGGGTTTAGGGTTACAATAACATTACCAAATCAGTAGATTAATTTTGGTAAACGAAAAAGTTAGTTAATCTACAAAGCCAGTCTAAAAGCACATCCCCATCTCCCGCTGTCAATTACTAAACTTTTCCTTTAATCCGATGGTGAAAGAGCTTCAATCCTTGCTGCGACGTGTCACCCAATCAGATTTCGCCGTTTTCGGAAAGTTGCATTTGCCCATAACCAGTACTGACGTTACCAAGGCCGAGGCAGCGGTAGGGAGTGTGATTTTCAGTAAATGGGAAGGGCTGGAAAGGCAAAGTAATTTTATGAGTCCATTTATTAATTCTTTAATCAGGAAAGGAGAGACCATGCTCCGAAACCCGAGAGACACTCATCTCCTGCTGTTGTTCGTTCCTCCTCCTCTCAATCCCTGAAAAGACCCCTTTCTCCCTTCTTCTCAATATGAAACTCTGAAAATCAACCCCATCCGCCTCTTCGTCCTCCTGTCCCATGCTTTATTTTCGGGTGCAGTGGTAATGATGAGACTGCGTATTATTTTAGATCTCAGTTCCTTTCATTATGTCATTGTTAGATCATGACTGTTAAACTAACTCCTTCGTTTTATTGTTTCTTCTTTTCTCTCCATGCAGGGTCCTTGTTAGAGGCAGGGAGGGGAGC